TACCAGTTGTATGCAACGCTGAAGGAAGAACAATCAGCTACTAATACGTACAAGTAAATTCTTACCATTCCGAACAGAAAGTTTGGCATTGAAATATCCCAAACGCAAAGACTTGGAAAAATTACCTCCAGCATTTTCATGCAGTGTTTCGAAAGGATTGCGAGGCGATAAGTTGATAACTTCACTTGTTTGCAGCGAAACATTTCCCGTATTTGCGACTGCTTCATCTCCACTTTCGCTGCTCTCAGCAGTTTTATTCCAAGACACAGCTTTTTTATCTCCCAAATCAGCTTGAGGATTCAAAGCAGACCAGCCTGCTGCTACATTTGCATTTTCTGGCACATTTGCAGACCACTGCTTTTCGCTACCTTCATTTCTTATAGGGCATTGTGGAATGAATGGCGGATCCGTGGTGCCACCGACCAAAAATGGATTGAATCCAACTGCAGTGCCCACAAAATGAACCACGAGTACCCAGTTTTTTAAACAGCTTAATCAACAACATCCAAGTGATAAAAAGTACATCAACATCTTGTACAAGTGCAAAGACAAGAATCATGCACAACAATGCTTGCAGGGAATACCAAAAAAATATTCTACACAGCGCTTCTTATAAACAATCAATATGATATTGTATAATCATTATGTTACAAAAACTCGCAGTCTAGAAATGAAAATCACTAAAAATTAATCACAGTTAAAACAAAAGAAGAAGCAAAATCACACATGATACTAAATGCAGTTCAGTACTACTAATAATTTAGATTTCAACAACAGTTTCTATAACAAGTGCCACTACCGTGGGCTGGGCTGTAACATCAAACTGGAAGATTCGCAAAAATATGGAAAGCATACATATTTCACCACTGGCAACTTAATTTGAGTGAGCACAAAAAATTAACTATAATGGCTTGTATTGCTTTTGATCGTCGAATCAATGAACTTAACTACATTTGCATATCACAACGAAACTGCAAATAGTAATTGACAAATACAAATTCACGTCATGCATATACATGGGACTACGTGACGTACGTGCAAATAGGTTGAATGACTTAATTAATCTTTAGCACTTAAAGCGAAACTATCGTGAATTTCTTCAATATTTTATTAGACGTTTTAACTATGCACAAAAGCAAAAACTAACCGTTGCTTTTATTAGTAGCAGCTCCAACATTAAAAGCGGTAGCAAAATCTGCGCCGAAAGCATTTGTCGAGCCAACATTTTGATATCCTGGAAATCCTGAAATATTCACATATTAAAAAATATAGGCTCACGAACAAAATCGTGTAAAAAACATATTTTAATCATTGTTTTGTAGGTCAAATGAAATTGAATTAACAATGAAACATAATAATTATGCAGAGACGAAAAGCTATACCAGCTCCAGGCATTGGATTTGTTATTACCGGTGTTGCTTGCTGTTGCAAAACACTTTGTGCAAAAGGATTAGTTGGATCTAATGCGAACGGTTGCGGTACAGCATTAGATCTATATCCCGATGTAGCTGCGATTCCGCCAGCAGCTGGCATCATATCAAAAAGACCAAGTAAATCGTCACTTGGTTTAGAGGACGATGCAGAACCTGTTGAACTGACTGACGGCTGAGCTGCCACTCCTGGTACTGCAGCTGGTGCTGCAGGTGATACAGTAGCAAATGGATTGAAAGAACACGCATTTACATCTGTTGTACAAAGACCTCCTGCTGCTTGTCTTCTTCTTTGTTCCTGCAGCTAAATGCATTTCATTCCCAGAAAAAAATTTAAAAAATTCCGTATTCAATTTTTATTACTACTACTTATTTCCATAATTTTCTCACTAATCAATTAATTCGTAAAATAATACCAGTAAAAAATACAAATCATATATAGACCTCAAATAATCGCAGTCGTTCTTTTTCTTCGTCCAGGTACTTTTGTTTCGTTGAATCATCTATAACTCCGGCTTGTGTAGAAGAAAACAGCGGTGTCGATTGTGCCATTGCTTCCGTGAACTGTTCCTAAGAATAATTACGGGATAGAATGCTAATTTTATAACTGTCAGTGTGACAGTTATTTATGAAAATAAATAATAGAAATCGATATACATGATGAGTGGTTGGAGGTACTTTGCCACCTTCCAAATAAATTAAATGTGATTCCAATGCTTCTAATAATGAGGCCGGCGCTCGTTTCAAATTAGGTATTTCAGTACGGTCAATACCAACGGATTCAGCTACTTTCAAAAAATTTTCAACCTTGTCCAGTCTTAACTGAAAAATTATTATTCATTCTCCTTTCCATGAAGAAAACTAGCAACATGCATAAAGATG